TGTATATTCTACTGTATATTTGGAAAACAAATTCTGCTACATTAATGTTTTTTAACTGGTATGTTTATCAGGATAATTGACTCATTACTGGTAGTGTATGACACTGCAAACTGGGCTGATCCCTACAGCCCTTCAGTTTGCTGTTAGCAATCTGACCTCTGCAGGCTCTGGGTAATCTTGATCACTTGGCACTGTTGCAGCAGGTGATCAAAAGCCTAACCCCTTCACTGCAGGTCAGTGGTGGGTCCTGCTGTAACACAAACTGAAACCCTTTCAAACCGCGGCTAAGTCGCAGGCTTACTGACAGGTCAGCGCGCACCTCCTCCTTCCGACCAGAGCTTGTCTTCCTTCTGGTCTGACACTGTCTGCCTCTCAATCCAGGGCAACTTTCCTTTTCTGTGGCCATTCTAGGCCCGTTGCAGCCTTTCTTCAAGCTGTGTCACATGACTGTCTGGTGTCTTAGTGGGCTGGCATTACAGTTACTATGCTTGGACCTCTTCCAGGATTCTGCCTCTGAAGCCGGTTCCCTTTTGGGGAAGACTGAGCAGACTCCTTGTTCCAGGTCTTCCTTTCTCTGCTTCTTGTAACAGCCACCAAGTATGGCACAGCAGCAAGCTGTTGGACTTTCTTGTCCTGTTGGGAGTCTAGGCTCAGCCTGAATTCCTCCCAGCCGACTGCTCTCTTACAGCCCCCTCGATTACACTCAGAGGCATTACTGATTCCATGGAGAGTCTATCCTACCAGCTTTGTTCTCCTCCTGTTGAATTCAGTACTTCTTATATACATCCACTGATGCTCTCCTTAGTCAGTAGGTGCACTGACTATTGCTGCTGGCTGGGAATTGATGTAATCAGATGGAATCCAGCGTTCAGCCGGCGCTTTGACCCTTGTCTGTAACGCCCTCCTGCTGGTGGGTCCACAGGGAAAGGAGTTAAGCTGGAGGCTGGGAGGAGATGAGCAGGAACTGGTTCTCTCTTGTTCCAGAGCCAGCATAAGGCTCTCTCTACTGCCTCTCCCAGCCTTCCAACTACTCTCTTTCTGTCCCTGTCCCTCCCAGTCAGCATTCTCCACACTAATTCAGCCCAGGTGTGTCGAATTCTGCAGCACCTCCCAGTCCCTCAGCTGCCAGCTTGGCGCAGGGCCACTCCATCGCCCACGATTTGAGCCAAGATGGAGTCAACTCATGGAGCCACTATCACTACATCACAATGATATCATAGCGATAGAGTGTAAGAAATAGTTGAAGATAAAGATACTGTAGGTTACAAATGAGAAGAGGGACGTTTTTGGCAAGTGTAGATCAGTGGTTACTGAAAGTGCATTGATCCAGAGATCTAGTGAGTCCTTTTTTAAAAAAAGAAGTAATAATCTAAACTTCAACAACATGATTAGGTAGCTTGCTCCGGACCCATCAAAAGCCTTTGTGTGTAAAAGGCGCTTCCCTGAACTCAGTTCCAAACTTATTTTCCTCATAGTTTCCATGTGAGCCCTCTGAGTTGTTCTGCTGAAGAAGTCCAGTGGGTTGATATTGTTAGCGCCCTTAAGGATTTTGAGTACTTGAATTAGGTTCCCTCACAGTTTTCTCTGTTCAAGACTGAGCAGATTCAATTTGTTCAGATTGTAAGGAGGAGAACATTCCTTTCAGAACATGAATGCACCTGGTCTCTCTTTTCTCTTATTTGGACTGATTTCAGAGCGTCAGCATTTTTGTAACATGGTAACTAAAGGAACACATTCAGCTTCATGCTGTAAAGGACCAGCACAGTTTTAGCTACTTTTCTTCCCATCAGTATCATTAGCAAAATAGATGAAAGTAGTAAGAGCCCATTAAAATACAGTCCAATCATAAAGATTAATCATTTATAAGGTGGAGGTTGTTTAAATGCTACAAATCTAAGCAAACTGCACCTTTCACAAAACGTTTATGTATTTTTTTCATGTTTTGTAAAGCCAAAGCATGATTTCACAACTGTAAAAGACTGTATTTGTGTATTACGTTGCAATTAAATATTGAGCAATTGAGCTTATCTGCAAAATTGAGACAACAGTTTTTGGTGACAGTTTACTATTTTTTGTCCACGGCCTTGTAATGAGAATGTCTGTACATGTTAATTTTGGCATTATTTCTTACCTATGGGTTTAAACACATTATGAAATGCCAGTGTAGTGTAGTAGGCCTTTTAATATTAATCTACTGTACTTGTGCCTCGCTGGGACTGTAATATTCGCGAAGGGTAAAACGTCAATTGCTTTTTAGCTGGATTTGCGGCGTTCTATTATAGAATTAATCTAAGCCCTGGCATTTTTAAAATGATTAAATTTGGTGAAATGTGTGAATATAGTTTAGGTTTGTAAAACCGACTGTTAGTTTTTCTAAACGAATTCTGTTTTTGGTTTTATTTCCCCCGACGTCCGCTATTTTCTTTGTGTTCTGGGTTTGCTCCGCTCATGAGATCAGCTGCGCTATTGATCGCAAAAATACGCACGATTTAAGACAATGCTAAACCAAGGAGTGAAGTCGCAGGAAATTAATAACCACGAACGCTGCCATTTCAGATCTGTTAATGAAACAATTTTTCAGCACTAGTCATCAAACTTTTCTTTGCCTTTCTCAATAGAAAAACGCAGTTCAGTTTTCTGTATGCGATCAAATCCTTAGTTCTGGTCGGCTTGTTCCTGCCCCTTGGTGATCTACGCATGGGAACACTGGTACCATTGATATGCAGTATCTTGTCGTGTTGCTTTGTGGAAGTTATAATTTTGGCGAGATAATAGCTCGATTGTAAATTATAGGATTCTACTAAATGAGTCGGAGACCAAGACAGTGAAATTCGCTCAGCACTTTTCCCAGCATTTGACTTAAGGATTCCGACAATTTCAGGCACAGGTTTACAATAATACCCGTAAATATATTGTCTTTTTGAGCATGCATTACAGTAACAAGTGGGGCAAAACACCTGCCGTGAGTCATAGACCCTCTGGATATTCTGCTTGTCAGTAAACCTTATAGTCTGTACTTAACCTTTTTATGTCAAATTGATATCAGAGATTGCAGTTTATTTTTAAAATAGGGTATTCTTACACACATAACCTGAGGAAGCTGAAATCGGTTTTCAAGTTATATGGCTGCAAGTAGATACGGCCAAGATGCCCAAGATGTAGTTCTGTATGCAGTTGTCGGAACGTTGGAAAACGATTGCGATCTTGTTCAGTTACAATTAATTTATTAATCACGTTGTTACTTCACGACAAACGTGTTTCTAGACTGTATCCCTTTTATTGTAAACAGTTAAAACCACACCAAATGCAGAATTGTTGTATTTTTGTATTTATACAAATATAAGATTTTCAATTTTCCATGTGTTGTATAATTCCCATTCTTTGTAATTTGGGCCTTGTGTGTTACCTTCATTCTGTCTGACTACCAGCTCCTTAAAACAAATAGCCTGGATGTCGGGATCAGTACTGGGTGACAAAATCCGCACATGAATTTCATGAATTTCATTAAGATGAAGACGAATATGATTCCGATTTGTTGGGTGGATTAAAATCAAAATAAACCGACATCACAGGCAAATACAGGATTTTCAAAACTTCAAACGATCAAATCAATTTAGGGGACGCATTGGGGTCCGGCTGGGTTTTCCCTTAGTTGAAGAGTCAAAATCGTGAAACGTGGAATAAATCAGCTTTGATTCATCCTGTAAATTCTGATGATTCAGGCACCACGCCCTTCCCGTCAGTGTAGGCTTAACTCACGGAAACCTGCAGGTCGTTTAATCTGCGGATCTGTTGCTAGTTTTGACCAGGAATTTGCTCTTTGATGTCCTTTAAACAAATCTTATAATTGGCGAAAAAACGTTTTTTTTTTATTTTTCTATGTTGACAATAAAGAATGAAAAAACTTTTTCTTAACACAAGGATAACATCCAGTTTCTATGAACTGCACGTTAACACAAGGGAAGTGTGGCATTTTGTTTGAATCGTGGTGTTTTTTTTTTTACTTTACTGCATGCTAAATCATTCGCTTGATCACGCAAATTGTGACAGAATTCCTTTGTTCTCAAGCATGTGTGAAACCCAGGAGTTACTTATTTAAGGTCGTTGTTACTGCAGTTACATTTTTGAGACGGGTAAAATGTGTACAAGGAGTGTATTCTCCAGCCAGTTAAACGAAATGCATAAAACTCTTTACAGTTTTAATGCTTAATGCTTTACTAGACTAACAGCTTTTAGGTTGATGTGGGTATTGTACGGCTAATTAGAAATATGTCATGTCATCTTGTTCTAGGAGGTAAATTTGTGCAGGCGGAGTAATTAACAAAGATTTTGACAGCACCTGAATGAGAGTACTGAGGATTTGAGCACGGCCGCTTTTAAGAGGAAAGAAGTGCACCTGTGCATTTGTCTTCATTTAATTCACCGAACTACGAAAAATAAACCATTGATCGATCGTTTTAGATTGTTGAAACACAAGGGACTGCAAAGGGTGTAATGTGGCTCTTAACCATTATAAAAGAAAAAGATCTTTAATACCAACTAAAAGCGTTAAGGTTTCAACCTCAGTATTTAAACGAGTGAGCCACAAGATGTTCATTTCAAGCATTTCATTCATTGCTTGTATTTTAATTTGGGGGGATTGATCCCTAAAATACAAGTAGATTAGTGGTCAAATAATGTCAATTTAACGGTGAAACCAACTAATATGGCCTTGTTGCAGCTACCCTTGTTTCCTTTCAAGCTGTGAGGTGATCCGATTATGATGAAGATTATGAGGTTGATGAAGATGATGATGGATCTTGCACCATTGAGGTTTCTCCGCCGTGCGGGCGCTTTAAGGAACACAGAAAAGAGAGACCAGAGCCGAAGAAGAAGCCGAGCGATGGAGGGTGGATTCTAAAATAACTTGTATTAAAGAAGAGAGAAAAAGTAAAATGTCACGTTGTGATTGGCGGGTAGGGATGTCAGACGCTGTGCGTGTGCGGCCCAATTGGCCGAGATGAAGTTTTATTAAAATCAGAGCTTCTCCGATTGGAGCCCTAATCAGGAAGAAGGAATCGAGCTTCGTTTTGCACTTTTGGCTGCACGGAACTTTCAGATTAAAATCCATATAAAATCTGTCATTTTGACTCTCTTTCGAGGTTTTCCGATGGGAGGGACGCGGTAACTTTTAGCAAAGGAAGCACGATGATATCGGTGGATTGGATACTGTAACGACGAGCATCGCATTTTACTCAGCAAGGAAAATTCCGACGATCAAGGGGGAATGCAAAACGTTTTTTTTTCCGAAGGTACTAGCAGCTGACTGTGAAAGCGACAACTTAATTGTGCTACATCTTCATACCAGACCTTAACCGTTAGCTGCATGTGATGCTGGTATCTAGAAGCAACCAAAGTTAATGTATTTTAATTTAAAAGATGAGCCTTAAAATGCCAGGCTGCAACAGCAGGTTTCGCGAATGCAGCGCATGAATATTATCTTGAAGCATGCTACTTCGGAAGTAGGTCACCGTTTTATACGTCTTGTCAATTGTGAGATTTTTTTGCTTCACGTTACGAAGCAAAGAAATACCATAGCTAATCTGTTGGAAGAGGGGAGCAGAGCCATCTTTTCACATCCCCGCCGAAACTTCGTGATGTTTTAACAGGTAAAAATATAACCCATATTTTTTGTTCTTTTATTTGTATTTAAATATTTTGATCCACGTTGATATGTACTCTGGAGGCAATAGCATATATTTCAGAATAGCATTTGATAGAATGGGAGTCGATGTGCCTTTAAATTTTTTATGCATGTTTTATTGTGTAACCTTTAGAATTTATTAGAATCTAAAGCGAGTTCAACCAGTACAGTCCAATATACTGTACAGTAGATACTGAGAAAGTGTTGCTGGTCTTCATCATTTTAGCTCGACTTCAGCACCACAAAAAGTACATTATTCACCAGAGTAATCCACATAATTGCATTTGCAGTAATTGATGTATTTTCGATACGGTCAGCTGTCTGGTTTCGAACCGACTGTATGTTTGAATGGCATTTACATCATTCTAGGTCCTGGGTGATACGCGCCTCGTAGGGTTCTGGAAATAAAGAATTGGTTTTCTACGATCCGCCCAGCAGAACCGCTTCTGCTTCTGTTTTTCATGGTCATCTTAGTTTGAATGCATGTACATTATCGCTCATCCCCGAAATGCAAACACGACTGGACAAAACCTTTTCCCATCCCCCCGTTTAATCTTTCTCCCATATGTTTATGACTTTAACCTTCGTTACTTATTATCGACACCTGCTGAGAAGGAAGGCCGAGACTAAACAGTTACAGACACATGCTTTTCCTAGAAGCGAAATACTGTACGTCAGATTAAGGAAGGAATGACTGCTCTTTAAGTACCGTAGATTGCAATATGATCAGAGCATTTCTGCGTATAACTCTGTTTTATTCGCAAAACTATGGAGATTCAAGAGCAGAGTTTTAATCTATGTTTATTCTGATCTTCTGCAATATGTTTATTCTACGGTGAGTTGCTCGGAAACAAAAAAAATATTTTCTCTTTAAAACGGCACGTGTTAGTCCTACAAAAAGTATGAAATTTGAATAGTCGAAGTTATCGTTGCTTGAACGCGCGATTATTCATTGAGATGATGGACGGCGATTTCATTTTTGCGTTTGTTCAGAACTCTTTCATACCACTTTTTCCAAATCTAGGGTTATAATGAACGTAATAAGCATACATTTACATTTTAACTGCGGTAAGCTGGTTCCATGGTTTTGTATACGCCGAATGCGGTCGGTGTCGTTTGATTGTTTAGTTTCTCAGGTGATCATTTGGTTGCAATTCTCCGTTCTCTGTTCAAACCGCGGTTTACAGTTGTGATAGGTAAATGATGGGCGAGTCGCGTGTCACCACATGCAGGAGCACTTCAGCTAGTCTGTCATGAACTGGGGAGGAGACCAAATGTAGTTCTTCACACCTTCGCAGAAAACGTACTTGGAAACTTTAAAAGCGCGACAAATGCTATTGGTTCCAATACAATGGACATTTGTTGCGTTTTAATTTCTCTTCGTGTCTAAGTATGATAATTCGCAAACCCTCAGAAACCTATGGTACTGTATATTTGCTCTTATCTGCACAACTACGGTACACCTCTTCATTCTCACGGAAGCCCCCAGCAGCTCTGTTAACCTGTAGATAACCTTTGGCTGCGTCTTTGCTGTGTTGCCTAAGGCATATTAAAGAGTTTTAATGGTTCAGTGGTCTTTGAGGCGAGACGTGTTAACATGTGTTGTAGAATAGCTGCTACTACTTTTACAATTATATTTCCTTGTTTCACCTGCAACTGTTTTGTGAAAAAGTGTTCTGCTACTGCACATCTGCTTGGCTTTGTAATGTGTTTTGTGCTGTGTGGGTTTTGTTTCTCCTGAATTATGTTATCACAGTATTTTTGTGGTGTTGAAAGATACTGAGTAGTTCATGATATTTGCACTGACCATGAGATATTCTCTCACAAATGTGTACAGGGACACAGCTTATTAAAGTGTTATCAGAAGAGATACACTAGAATCCAGCCTAATTTCTCATAGAGGTTACAGTTAAATATCTGGAGACCATTATCGTCCTGTTCTGATGAATGATTTGTGGAAGTGTATGAAGGGGGTTTAATATCTTGGCATCCTGAAAAAAATTAACAGTTAATGGAATGATAACAAATATCTAAACTTTGAGCCATTTATGTTGTGAACCTATATTCTCACTGAACAATTAATGCTGAGGTTCCAAAATACTTTATTTCCTTTTTTAACATGCTTTCAACGAACGGCAGATATCTGTCACAAGTTTGTTTTTTGCCATAAGATGTGAAAAGCAATAATAGACATGTACCAAATCAGCATAAACATGCCTTGTTACTGTCAATCAAATTACTTTGATCTTTGCTGCTGACAGACACAGAAATTTGTAGTTTTTTTACACTCTAACTATATGGACTTTTTTTTTTACTGAATTCTTTCATGGTTCAGTAGGTCAAATAATCTTATAAAACAGTAAAAATAAGAAACCTATACAAGGAAAATCACTCGAATTGAAGACAGAGAGGTGCTTTGGAGGATTCGGTGCTTACAAAATAGAATTCACTACAGATGAAAAAATCTGGGAGTAGCATTTTCACAGCTGCTCAATGCAATGCACTGAATTATGCCAGCTAGTCATTCTTTTACAATATAAATGGATTGAGGTTGACAGCTTTTGCCTGGATCTCTTGCACATAATAATTATAATAATAATTGCTTACACTTTTATATAGCGTTTATCTGGACACTCCACTCAAAGTGCTTTACAGGTAATGGAGACTCCCCTCCACCACCACCAATGTGCAGCATCCACCTTGATGATGCAATGGCAGCCATAGTGCGCCAGAACGCTCCACACACATCAGCTATTAGTGGGGAGGAGAACAGAGTGATGAAGCCAATTCACAGATGGGGATTACATTACAAGAGTGCTTATCATAAAGCAGTATGTGACCTGATCTTACGTAATTACTGCATCCTATTCTGATGGAAGCTGGGTGTGTCATTCTCTGTTGTCAATGTTTTAGTCATTTTCATTTCAAACACTAAAGAAATACATTTCTTAATTTTAAATAACTTTTCTGGGCAACATTCTAATGTATCTTTGCTGATATTAAGGGGACTGACAAAAGATTTCTACGGAAGTCGAATTTGTGACTTTTGTTTAGAGTAATGCAGTTTGACAGCGTTGCCAAAACAGACTGAAAAGGTGACCTTTGGGACTGAGGCTTTGCATTCAAGCAGAAATTAATTGCTTACCTTTAGAGCAGTTGGCTAATTTCTGGGAATTATGAAATAATATCTAGATATCAGTTTACTTCTAGCCATTGGTTTTTGAATAGAAGTTTGCTTTAGATCAAAGTCACCGTTGTTTCAAGAGAATCCAAATGAATTTTTAAGACTGACCTGAACATGTTACTTTAATACAACTCGGAAAGGGAACTAAATCTTGTGAAGTTAGCTGGTTTATTCAGGCGTCTGTTGGTCTCAATGAAATTTGGTAAATTTGGAAATGGGATCATGGATATTAAGTTTTCATAGACAACAGAGGACACTGTACATCCAAATGTTTGGCTGTACATTCCTGTTGTATAAAATACACAGGATGCCTGCTGTTATGTACTGTACTACACCAGTGTACTGTTGTTGCCAATGAAGAATTGTTTCACTGTGTTCATGAAACTGCTTTGAATAGGCTTACTACATAAGGATATGAGATGGGGCCATTTGGCCCATGTAACGTGTTTGTGTTTTAGTAGCTGAGTGATCCAAGAACCTCGTCCAGCCATTTTTGAACAAAGCCAGTGTATCAAATTCGACAACATGACAGGCTAGCTTGTGCCAGGTTCCCTCAAAGAAGTGCCTCCTCTTTTCTGATTTAAGTGCATTTTCATATGAACCTAAAGGAGGTTACAAATGAGAGGAGTCTATTTGACCCATCCAGCCTGCTCGGTCGTTGGTAGTTAATTGATCAGTGGATCTCATCCAGCTGTTCCATGAAACAAGCCAGAGTATTGTTATTGTCCCCTTGTAATCTTCTCTGTTTAGAACTTAAAAGGATCAGTTCCTTCAACCTGTCAGTGTACAACATTCCCTTAAGACCTGCAATGTATCTGGTGGCTCTTTTCTAGAATTAAATGAGAGCATTATCTTTTCTAAAGTGTTGTGACCACTATTGTACACAATAGTCTAAATGAGGCCTTATTAGTGTGATGTACAATTGTAACACAACATCCCTTGATTTAAATTCTACACTTTTAACGATAAATCCTAGCATTTTCTTGAGTTTTTAGTTGCTTCCCCGCATTGTTTAAAAGATATAATTGATATCAACACGATCACCTCAGTCTTCTAGCTGTTTCCCATTTTGCATTTTTAGTTTTTTACCACCTGCATGCAAGACCCTGCAATTGTCCACATTCAATGTGAATTTTATCTACGTCTTTTCGAATTTCATTTGCCACCTGCAGTATTTGCTCATCCTTCTAAATGTATATAATATATAACTAGTTTATGAACTGTACTAGAATCTAGTTCATTGATATAAATTAAGAGCAATACCAATGGCTATGATACTCTGCTAATTACATCACCCCAATGTGAGAATTCAGCCCTTTCTGTGCTCTGTTTTCTATTTAGTAACCTATTCAAAATAAAAAAAAAACATCTCATGTTTCCCTGAATGTCCCGTGCCTGAAATGTAAAAATGCATTAAAAGTGATCTCAAAATCTAAATATGCTTTATCGTTTACCCTCTGTGTTCCATGTAGTTTTTATTTCAGTGTTGATTCTGAAGTGGTCCATTGGCTTGGCTTTTGGCAACGCCTTTGAGAATTTTACATCTCTAAATCTGGTTCCCTCATAGTTTTTTTTTTTGTAAAAGACTAAAAAGGTTCAGTTCACTTAGCCTGTCACTATTGAACATTACTTTTAACCCACGGAAGTACCTGCTCTTGTGTCTCTCGTCTGACTCCAGAGCAGCAATATCTGTTTTGTATCATGGTGACCAAAACTGAACGCGATAATTTAAATGAGGTGCCTTGTACGATTTTCATTTCTCCGCCTTTAGCCATATATCC